CCAAGCACATTTTTGAAGTTATTGTCTATTTGGTAATTCCGATCTTTTTTCAATTTTTTTTTGTATTTTTTTTCAACTTAATTGTTAAGAGGTGTGCAAAATTTGAGTTAAAATCAATGATTCATTCATTAATTATTGAGGTTTAAAACTTCTATAAGAATTATTTGGGATTGATTAGGATTTAGTTTAAGATTAGCTATAGGAATTTGGATTGATTTTAGGTTTGATTAGGGTTTGACTAGAGTTTGACTAGGATTTTTTTAGGATTTGGTTAGGACTTATTTAGGATTTGTCTAGGATTTTATTAAGATTTTATTAGGATTTGATTATAATTTGATTAGGATTTGATTAAGATTTGACTAGAATTTGACTAAGATTTATTTAGGATTTTCTTAGGATTTAGTTAGGACTAATTTAGTATTTTATTAGGATTTGATTATAGTTTGATTAAGATTTGATTAGGATTTGATTAGGATTTGATTAGAGTTTGACTAGAGTTTGTCTAGGATTTGATTAGGGCTTATTTAAGATTTTTTTTTAGGATTTGACTAAGATTTATTTAAGATTTGATTAGGATTTGGTTACGATTTGTTTAGAATTTGTTTAAGGTTTGATTAGAATTTGACTAGGATTTGACTAAGATTTGTTTAGAGTTTGGTTAGGACTTATTTAGAAATTGATTAGAATTTGACAAGGATTTGATCAAGGTTTGATTAAGGTTTGATTAATATTTGACTAGATTTTTACAAGGATTTAATTAAGGTTTTTATTTTAATATTTTATTAAGATTTCTATTTTAGTTTTTTTTTAATTTTTATATTATTCTTTTATAATTTCTTTAAAAGATCTGTAAAAATTCTTTGTGTTTCTTATATAATTCCTTTGAAATTTTAATTGAATTTGATTGATATTTGATTATATTTACTAATTCATAATTATAATTTATTTAAAAATCTATTAGAGTTGTTAAGACTTATTGTTGCAATTTTCTTTTTATCTTCCATAGCCAGGTACTTGGTGCATTTTCAAGCCAAATTCCATATAATACAACATTGTATTTGTAGTGTCAATGATCCTTGTAAAGCATCATTCTCCATTGGCATTGGTTGTTGTGCCGTAATATTAGATAGCGGCACAAGACTTTGTGCTATAGGTCATGTTCCACAATTTTTGAAATCTATAGCATCGACCCTCTCTATAATCTAAATTACCTCTTTGAATGTTTGTGGATTTTTTAGGTTCATCTCTTGCTCGATGCCAAGTTTCAAACCTCGTAGGAATCAATCCATCATCTTTGCCTTTGAAACATTACTAATTTGGAGACATAGGGACTTGAATTGAGAGACATAATCTTGCACCGACCTAGCTTGTGTAAGATTTGACAATTGATTACGTGCTATTTTTTTTATGCATTGATGGGCCAAAATTGATTCCTAAACTCGATTTCAAATTCCTCCCAATGACAAAATATACCTTAAGCTCTATAGCTTTGAAATCAATATCACCACCAAATGGTTGCCGCATCCCTTAAATAGTTAGCTCTATATATAATTCTTTCAGTGGTATTTGCCCCAGATAGTTAGAAGTATTATCACATGTTGAAGAGCCACTAATATACACCTTCTTGTCTTGAAGTTTCAGAGTACGTACTAGACTTACTCAATTTCAACCTAGCAAATGTTGACTCTCTTATCCTCGAGACTTCTATTTGCCCTTACAAAGTAGCTATCTAGCATAAGAGGTGTTGTATTTGAGCTTCCATTTGGAATTCCTCTACCATATCTCCTATACAATAATTTCTCCATTGGACTCTATTATTATAATGCCTTTTCACTTTCTAATTGATTTTTTAAGAGTATCTTATGGTAGCCTCAACTCAATACTTAATATAACAACAAAGATTGAACTTTGACTAGATGGTGACTATCGACATACTACTAAAAGAAAATAATCTAATACTTGCTTTGATACCAATGAAACAGGACCAGACTATCTCAAAATCCAAGATCCTTCTAATCCATAGTAATATAAAGCCTCATCTCAAAATAAGACAAAATAGACAAGAACAAAACTAAATGAAACTATAGAGAATAAGACATGAATGACAATTGAGCAGATAGAAACAGAACAGATCAAAACGAAACAAAACTGAACCAAAGGATGTAAAACCAAATTTTACTAAGAGAAAGGGTCTATAGCCATACTTGACTAGATGCCTCAAAAGGCCCTAGCCAGTGCTATTTATATCTTATCCTACCAGATTGGATTTTCTAGAACATTCATAGGTAATAGACTCGACCTAGATAATCACTATAAATTTCTTTTCTAGAAGATTCTATAATAGGCCCCACATAGATAATCACCGTAAACTCTTCTAAAATATTCCATGGTAGGCTCCACCTTAATAATCACCATAAATTCTTTTAGAATATTCTATGTTGGATCTTACATGATCTACTAACCTAATCCCAATTCTATAAACTTCCATAGTTCTAACTTTCTATATAATTATTTTTTTCTATACCTTATTACATATAAAGTTAATGATGAGTTTTTGATCTTGAATAAATATCACATAATTGTACAAAGTCCTTAAATACCTTATATATTTGAAGCTACCAAAAATTTCTATATATTAATTCTAAATCTTGTTGTATCCAAAATGATATGCAACTAAAAAGTTGTGATGAATTTGAAGAACATGTAAGCATACTTACATTCTAGAATAAATAAGCATCCATTAAATAGAAAAGATCATTTTTAAATTCAAACTTAAAAGTATCATGAAATTTAGATAAATCATTCTTAGTATCATGTATAAGAAGATTTGAGGACATACTTGATTGAACTTGATTGAACTTGATTAAAAATGTTGAATCAATAGTCAATGTTGATTTCTTTGCTAAAAGATGAAATTGCTCTAGCTTCAAAATATATGTTTGTTGTTATTTACAAGTTGCATTTCTTTCTTTTGGTGCAACATAAGAATCTTTAAAATAGACCTTATTTTTTTAGCTAATAAGTAATTTTATACTTAAATCTTAACAATGACATGCTATAAAAAATTTGATAAGGAATTAAAATACATACTAAAATAAAATACTTGAGTTTTTATTTATTTATATAAATAATCATTGGATATGAAACACCTTCTAACCAAAAGCATCATTCTTGAAATTAATCCATAATTTTAAGAAGCTATTTATTATAAATTTTATAATTAATCTTAGTTACTAAAAATTTTATTAAATAAAAAGCTACAGAATGAAGTTTGTTATGTATTCCTATTTTTGACAACACCACACCAAAGGTAAAGTTTAATGCATTTCTTTCCATTATAAATACCTCAGCAAAATCAATATAATATAAGATTGTGTCAATTCTAAAAAAAATCTTTAAAGTTTTAAAAGATGATTCAATTTCTTTTTTATATTCAATTTTTTTTTTGAAAGTCAAATATATATGTAAAGTTGCAATTTGAAAAAAATCTTGATAAAGATTCAATACTAGTTAACAAATTTTAAAAAACATTAGACATTTTTTATTATTCTTAGAACATTTCAATCTACATTAGTCTAAACTTTCTTACAATCCATTATAAGGCCATCATTTGAGATGATATATGTTAAAAATCAACTTGAGTTGTGTAAAATACACACTTTTCAATCTTAACATATAGTTTTACATCTTTAAGTTTTTGTAATATTTAATAAACATGAAGTGCATGCTTTATTGTAAAGTGTAAGCTCTAAGAATAGATTAAAATGTTGTCTAGATAATAAATAATAAAATCATCTAAAATTTTTTAAAAACATCATTTTTTGGATGTTGAAAAGCAAATAGTATATTTATAGGTTATACATGACATTATATTCAAATTGCCCATAATTGTTTTAAAACGCAGTCTTCCATTTATCTCCATTTTTAATGCGTACCAAATTGTATTCTCATTGTAAGTCAATTTTTATATAGATCTTTGCTTGATTCAATTGATTAAAAAGATTTAATATCAAAGGTAGAAAGTATTTATTCTTAATGGTGATCTTGTGATCATTTAATTATCCATACATATTTGCAATAATTTGTCTATTTTCTTTACAAATAAGACAAGAACTAATGTTGAAAAATTTGAAATGGTGTATGAAGTTCTTGGTGAAATTCTTGCCAATATATTTCATAAGTATAGTTAAGTCATTTTGCAATAAGCTTTAGATTGGTCCTAATGGCAGTTGGATTCCTTCTTAAAAATCAAATGAACAATCATATGGATGATGTTTTTAAAGAATATTTATATATATGTATATATGTTTTTTAAATGTCTTGACAGTTATACCAACTCAAAATGGCACTTAAAATCTTTCCATCATCAAAAATGAATATAGCATAAATAACAAAAGGTAATTATTCTTTTGGAGCATACACAAAGACTCTTGTATCTATTAATAATAGTTTGGTTATAATAAACTTATAACTTTTACTTAGTTAAGAGAAGTTTAGATTATGCTATAGAAAAAATTGAAATTACAATGAATTTATTCTATTCAAGGATTATACTTCTTCAGCTATAATAAACTTAAAATGTCCGAGTTGGACGATGATCTAATAAGATTAAATATTACTAAGTTATTAAGACCATTAATTGCTACCTCTATAAGACTGATTTCATGATGTCAAGTTAAAATAATTTCATGAATAATTACTCCAAAAAACAACAAACAACTATCTATGAGTTTTATATGTATAAGCTTAATTTTCTTTATTGAAGATATTTCTTGTTTTTTAACAAAGTCTTTGTTTATAAAACAAGCTAAGGCTCTTCAATTTAATAACATAAAAAAATTGTATTTTTTTCATGAATGATTTAGAAAATATAACTTTTATTATGTATTGCACAAAAAAAAACTAAAAACTTCCACAAGTTTGTTGTGTAACACATGACAAAAGATTGAAATTATGAAAATACATCAGATGCAAACAAACTGATTTTTGAGCAAAACAACTTGAAAAACCGTAACATAAGGAGGCCTTATAACCATCCTGCAAAATTAATCGAGTGTAGACAGGAGAAACATTTTTCAATAATATACACCAATATGCACTGCACGAGTGTCTTAAGCTGCAGCCCGAAGACACAAAAAAAATATCAAAAAAATTAAACTGCAAAAATGCTAATTATGCTACCCGTCGTTTGCTAACATATGGCTGGAACTGAACAGGACCCTCCACTGAAGTAACAGTCCTTTTTCCTAATTCAGATGCAAGTCTTTTCGCCTCCCTCCGTTTTTCAGCCTCAAACTCTCTACGTGTGTCGTGTCGTGATCCACTTTGCCAAACACGACCGAAGTTTGGAAGCCAGGATGCATCGGCCTGTGGAACGTCCAACGTCTCTCCTCTCTCTGCACGTTCTAATTGTGCTCTACGCATTTCAGCCCAAGCAGCTCCAACCCGATTTGGAGGCCTGAGTTTTGCTAACTTTCTCTCCTGCGTCTTGGAGAGTGATTGCTTCTTTACGGCTTCGATGCTGGGACCGATTTCATCGTTGAGGACATCAAACAGCTTCTTGTCCTCGTTAGGTCCAATCCAAGGAGGCGTGCCACCAGAATGTACATTGCCCTCTCCAGATAATAGAGGCGGGCAAACGATCTTAGAAAGAGCTGCAAATTGTGTTGATGCGCCACTCTTAAGTTTACGTAACACAATCGACTGTATGCAACAGTACATATAACATATTCAGCAAAGCCACGACGTCTAATAAGCTACTTGCACAGTTTATGATTCAACATAAGCAACCTGGGTAGATCCAAACTTACTCTGGCCAGAGGCCATCACTGTATACTGAACGGGAGCAGCTCCTGGTAATGATTGCATGATGCCTTGCACACTGAAGGCCCCATTCGTAGCTGACCAGTTTACTCCACGACCCTGTAGATTGCAGGAAAAGTTCAAAAACAGGAAGATGTCTCGCAAGTGCAACCCAAGGATAGTATGACCAAAATATTTTAGATCAATATTTGGGCTATATCTGATTTCCATATTTAAAAAAATCCTCAATATCAAGTGTAAGGTCAATGCATTTAACACAAAAGACTCACTTGAGTGTAATGGCTAGTGTCAGTGCCTCTCCATGCCTTAAATACCTCCGTTGGCCTGTAATCATCAGAAGGTTTTCTGGTGCTTGCTTCTGTGACATAAGAAATTCGTAACAGAAAATGTTCATAACCTCATCGTTTCTAAGTACATTCCCAATACATATTCAATCTAGATTTATCTTCAAAATCACGAATGTAATGAAACCTCTCACCCAAGACACACTGACTTGGCGACAGCATACCTAAACCAAAGTTCGTTGGCACCAGAAATTTTGCAGAATCCATGTAGTGCACACTGTTACCAGACACACCCGCCCACTCGTTTGCGAAATCCACTAACGTCTCGGTTCTATCAGACACTGAGTGCCTTCGGAGACTGCCAGTTTCAGTTGCCGCAGAAGATACCTCATTGTGCGTAGACAGTGAATTCTGGGTCCTTCCAACAGTAAGGACTGTTAAAGGCTGAACATCATGTACAGAAGCAACATGTGAAAAACTCTGTCTACTGCCTAGTGCTAAAGAAGATCCCTCATCATTAAGTGAGGTTCCGGAGTGGATATTGTTTGTTCCAGGAAGCTCCACAACACTTGTTTTGGCCATTGTCGCAGTCAAATTCTTACATCGTTCCTGCCACTGAAACCAATATACTATTGTCAGAAAAATGATTGAAAAGACCTCATGCGTCATTCCTGCAAACCAAGAAGAATTATGAAATGCCGATCGACGTCGACCTATTTAAAATTGTGGCGGAAAACAGTATACTCAGTGAGTGCGAAGAAAATTATACCTGCAAAGTTTCCTCCTTGGAAATGAAGTAACTAAAAGAATCCGCGAGATGAGCTCCCTGGTCTGCTAAAAACTTCTTGACCATAAAAACATGTTGTGGATTTCCGAGATGTTGAATGGTGCTTTCACTGATTTGTGTAGCAAATAGCAAGATACAAGTTACTAGCAATCAAAAGTGAGACTAAGTAGTCAATGGATTATTTAAATCTAAAAATCAACTGGTATACTTTCGACTCTAAAACTGTCGCAAGATCCTCCAACACGCCTCGATGCCCTCAACTTCCAAATAAGTTAGACTCAACATAGCGGTGAAGAAATCACCAACATACCTAACAAACACACTCTTTTTTTCGTCAATCTCCTGCTCACAAAAAGCGCACCAAAATTTGGAACGATCGCGGTCTTCGTCCTGCAAGGTAGTGACCTCCTTCATTGATAGTCTAACATCTTGTAACTTCTTCCGTGCCTTTGAAAGAAATTCAGTTAAATACTTCTTGTGTTTAACACCATACTTGTGACCTTTCACCTTGTCGTGATGTATGCGGCAGACTGGACAGAAATTGAGCGGAGCCATCGAGTTGACTACCTTCAGCCCCAGAGATGTGCAAATTCAGATCTAACACGTAAATACTCAAAGGCAAGACCAAAACATAAAGTCAGAACTGAGCAGCATGCATTTCGCACAAATTACACTCCGCGACCTGCATGTGCTCTATTCAAGACCAGCATCAAGCAAAATGGTAATTTACTTCACGACAATCGTCCTATGCAACCATTTTCAACCTGCAACACACACACGACCAGACCCCAATCAGCGCAGTACTCTAGAGCAAACTTTCAATGAAATCAACTGAAGAGGCCCCACTACAACCCTAAACTTGTGAAGAATACATCATGTATCAAAACCCCAGTCGAGACACAGACCGATACAAACATGACGAATCCAACGTCAGGACATCACAGCTTTTGATGGCAGAAGAACTCCCAAGACAGTGTAAGAGGATCGACAGAGGAGTTCCATGTACACTCCACGTATTGAACCGCTCCGGACTAATGATCAGATACTTATTCTCTGTATGTAAAACCAAACCTCCGTCCAAATCACATACGCACTTGATACCGTTACATGAAAAATAACCACAAAAATTTATGGTAAATTGGCTGCAAGGATCGCTCAAGGCTTAAGTCTAACCACTGTCGTTTTACACACAACGTCACTCGATAACCTTTAACTGCTCCATGCTTCGTATGGAAATAGTGGCCAAGTACCAACCACTGCGACCCAAATTATGCTACATGCGGTGAATATCATCAAACAGCGGCAAGCTGCCGTAAAACAGCTGGATCGACAGCTGCATCTTTACCCTTCAAAATGTAAATAAAGCGTATGTGCTACACATAGTTGAACCCTAAAGGAGGCTAATCAATGCCTCGTGGCTGCATCACGCTAGTCTCTCCCCGATCATAGCAGACTGACTGCCCATTACTATCATTCTTCAACACAAAGAACACTGACCTTTCCTACTTTCCTACTTTCCGCAATCTCCCATTCCAACTACTCTGTCTCATACCCACTCATCCGAATACTCCACTCGTCGCAAAGCAACTAAAGGCCTCTCAATTGCACAAATTAACCCGCACACAACCACTCTTCTACATCAAACCAACCCTGAAAACCAAAGCCCGTGTAAATGCGTCCTTTGCCTTGGCTTGGGCTTGGACTGGCGTTGGCGCTTCTCCAACTGTATTTGCGTCCATGCAAAGCAGCGCTAAGGCCAAGCAAGGCCAAGCAGTGCGGGTGCGACGGATCGCGGCGACCGAGCCCCAGTGCTCGAAGACTCTTACCCTGGGGCTAAATACTAAATATCATTGTGTTTGAAACCATGGCCTCAGGGTGACCTTCAGGGTTTATGATACAAAAACTCTTAGTAAACATTGAACTTGTGTAAATACAAATTATTCCAATTATATGTGATAACTAAAGATCTATTATATTTGCAAAGACTCAAATCATTATATATAAATCAAATATACCAATTTCCAATATTACTATATTAAAAAATAGATTAATGATAGAAAATAATAAATATAAGTTAAGTATTTTTTTTTTTTTTTCATGCACATTATCTGTGAAAGATAAATATTATAAGTTGACAAATTTATTAGAACTGATAATCGTTGATTATTGATAAAGTGGTAGTTTAAAGATTATGTTGATGATTAATTATTACTAAATATTCTAACTTTGTCAATACCTAAAAAAAAATTATAAGTTAGATTTTTTTATTTTTTTATTTTTTTATTTTTTGTAATCGAAGGGCAATAAGGATCAATAGTAATTGAAGAAATTGCAATTAGAATTTGAAGCAGTTAAGATTTTATTAACTTTGTTTTAAAACATTTTTACATTAAAGTAATTTCTATAACAATAAATAGAAATATATTAGCATGTAAATAAAAGATGTTAACCATGAGAATTTATCTTATTTTACACCTTTTATGTGTATATGCATCTTCTTGATCTTTTTTGTACTTTTGTTACAATAGTTATACTACTTCAATAGATATATACAAGATTATGCACATTGTTTCTAAAAAAATCATAAATATATTCTTAATTATATTTAAAATATTTTTTACACATTATTTTTATAATTCTATAATAAATATAAAAATATAAAAACAACTTAATAAAAAAACATTCAGTTCTACAAAATAGAATAGGAGAAAGAAATAATTTTAATTATTTTCATTTTCATTTAATAATTAATTTTTTTATTCAATAAAATATGTAGTCGCATTAGAAATACCCAATATATCTTATTTATTAAAAATATTGTTTGTTTCTTTCTTACTCCAATTAATATATCACAATAAAATTTTAATTATTTTCATTTTTATTAAAATTATTTTTAATATAAATTGAATAGAAAAGAAACATATTAAAGGTATTAGAAAAAAATTTATTTTAATGAAGAAAACTAAAAAAAAAAAACATGTCAAGTAGGTAGTAGGATGTGGTAGCATTAGCAATACCCTATATTTAGGAGTGTGCATGTTTGATTTTCTTATTTTACTGGGATGCTGGAGTCATCATTCAACGAATGTCGTCATCCATTAACGTTTCATCCACCAATATATTTTTTAGGGTTGTACAAGGGTCCATAAATTCTTGTTCATACTTTGCGAGAGTGCTCTTTTGTACCATTGTCCTTCGTAACCGAAGCTCCAACACTCACATCCCCTCAAATAGCCCGAGATCACACTATACTCATGAAACCCAGCAGAAGGCACAAGCTCCATAGGATTTCGAAATGGAGACTGATGGACTGAGAGCATATATTGATGAAGCGATCCTGGGAAGAGGAAAGTAGAAGGGAACTGCTTGACGAGACCACCATAAAACGATAAAGTTCCCAAGTCTGAGGTTAGGTGACGTGGGTGATGAGTTTTGCATCACTGGCCACATACAATGCGTAAGTGCAGTTGGCTGGTGAGCTTGCGGTGTATAGTTTTGATTTCAACTTCGCTGTTTGGACTAAAGAATGTGTACATAATTTTCGAAAGATTTCTCGTCTCTATTTTTGGCTCCGACTGCCACTGTTCTGTTCTACCTCCTCTTACTCTGACCTATCCTTTTTGCTTCAGCATGTCGCTTGTGTTCTCGGAGGATTTGGAGCCCTTACAAATTCTCGACTTACAAGGCGTTGATGTCCTCGGTCGCCAAGTTGTTCGCATTGTAGGGAAGCACTTGCCTGGTACGCCCTACATCCTCAACCCTTGCACTTTGGCTACAACAAATTCACTCAAACTCTAATTCTTCAGCGTCTGCATTCCTACCCTAATTCTCAGCTCTTCATCATTTAGAGCATATGAGTAATCTGGATATTTGGCTGAGACTCTCAATCACGATGAATTGTCTTGTACTGTCCACAGAGCTAGTTGCTCTTTCGGCAGTAACTCTCCTCATGCAGTTGCCATGTGACTTTACAGACAGACCTCGCTGAGTTTCAGACGGGAATCAGGTGCAGGGTTGAATGAGTGATTTTGAAAATTACGAATTTCGTCGCTGCCAATGAATTCACTATGTGTATATCCTGCTTTCCCAAAAGGAATTCGTTCTTGAATTACAGCTAGAGGCCTTGAACTTTCACTTATGCGTGGAGTCTTATGGTTCGATGCAGCACCTGCAATCGACGTTGAAAAATTGAAGGTATTCGTGCTACATAAACTCCATCACGAACTGAAGCCAGGCCCTTACGTCGTAGTTTATTTCCACACAGCAGTGCAACGAAATGATAATTCTCCAGGTTTGTGGGCTCTCAGAGATTTATACGAAATTCTGCCAAAACAGTTGAAGCATGGCCTGCAGGCTGTGTATGTTGTTCATCCAGGTCTGCGTTTCCGGCTGTTTCTCGGCACCTTGGGACGATTTTTTCTCAGTGAAGGGTACGTCTTCAAATCATCGCATCTCTCTCCTACATATACCTTCCTTGGTAGAGTATCTGTAAGATACCTAGCATTTTTGGTTGTAATTACGATAGCGTTGCCCGAAACCCTCAACCAGCATTGTCTTACTAAAAAGCGCCACGGATTTAGAGGGACCAACGACGCAGGGCTGGGTTCAGGGACCTTCTGATAATTAGGCTCAGTTATCATACATAAAAGCTATTTGAAGTTTTCGAAGTTATTGCAGACTTGATTCGACCAATTGTAGTAGCTCTCAGAACTATGGCACTCCTGGCACAGATTCTACTCAAAGTTGGTGTACATTAGTCGGCTTGAGTTTCTCACAGAACACGTCAGGGAAAGTCAAGTAGAGATCCCAGAATTTGTCATCGATCACGACCGGGAATTGGAGACACGGCCATTGATGGACTACGGTGTAGAAGTTGATCTAACGCAGAACAATTCTATGCCGGTGGGAGAATATCCTCGAAGCCCTTACAGGTCTTCCTCAAACACAGTTCGTTGACAAGAAGCTACACTGTCCTCCTATTTCCATCTTGAAGATGCGTCTTTCTTGAGGAGTGTCTAATCCTTTTCTAAAACTTATTTCCTTTCTGAAGATTGTTACTATAATTTGAATCTATTCCTATTTCTGCAGGTAGAGATGGAATTGGACTAAAGCTCAGTAACAAGGGTAAACCCGGAGGCTCGGCAACCAAACAGCGGCAAGCGGATCATCTCCTCAGAGTGAACACCTGCCAGTTGCATACTCTAAATTAAGCTGATTGTATAAAAGGGTTGAAGCTAATCTCAAGATGAACCTCATTCATTCCAAGGGATGGATCTGCTGATAATGTTTTTGGAGCCGATCTAGCCGTGCTTTCATAGGGACGCTGCATGGAATTGAATTAGAGAACTAAGGGAGGTAAATGGATTTAACTGATAATTAGGAGCTGGAGTTCAACCAATCCATGTAAGTCCTGTGCCATTAGATTTCCATAGGACTTCAGTACTCTTGTTGACTAAATGCACCTATGTAAAATAGGTTATATTTTTTAACTACGTGTATGCGCATTGTAGCTTTGGCAATCCATGAAATGTATTTTTAAGAATTCACGTTGTGGACTTCGATCTAAAATTTTACCGCAATTTCTCGTACATAGTTGATTTTCAATCAAGTATCAGTCACTTGCAATGTCATGCAAAAGTCTTCTTAGCTTGGTATTGCATTTGCAGTTGCATAGTGCTTCATGAGTAGCTAGAAACATTAGACGAGGCAGCCTCAAAAGGTGGGGGCTTTGGTGGATCTCAAATTGCGACACTGACTTGCTCGATCAACTGGATCAAAGAAAAGAGTCCATGTATTTACTTCGTTTCTTCATCAAGCTCCTTCGTTTCACCTTTGGCTCATTTGGATGATTTTTCAGCAAGATTGTTGAAGGACAGATCCATATTCTATCAACACCCTTGCAATACCACGAACTGCCCACAAATATCAGAAGTCAACTTCTACTTGAAAGCAACAGCAAATATACTTGGGAACCCAGGGAACTTCGATCTGAAGAACTTTAAGGTGCTATCAACATTTTTCTACAATTGTGCAACAGCACTGTAAAAAAATTCAAGTGCGAGGAGCTTCAATGCAAGCACCTGTAAAACCGTTTCTTCACTTGTCTTGCTCCCAAAGTGTGTCACTTCTCAAAGCCAAGCTGTCAATATAGGAACAATTTCTCATAATCAACAGATAATCGCGGCCTTGGTGGAGGCACTAAAGTTTCCTTAAAATTCCAGACATTTTGTGAAGGAGGAAGCAATTCCAGCTTCCTTAAAGCACGCTTAGTCTCCTCATGCTCCGTATGTTTACTACAAAAAATTAAATAATCGCCTCTGAAATCCAGGTATACATCTCCATTGGGCTCTTGTGTTCGTTTCGGAATTATAAACCTCTGAAGCAACCCTTTCTCAATTTCCCCAAGATCATCCCAATCAAGTCTCAGTCTCTTCGCGTCATTCATCCGCTTCTTAAGTAAGGCTCGTTCCTCATCTGACAGATGGTCATCAACAACACTGCCGTTTCTTATAGGAACTCTATACCTAGCTGCACACTCTGTGCCGAACTCTTTGTATGTTCTTGCAGATCGGTAACGCTTCAGCTTCATTGTCAATGTCCGCACGCAACTGCTCCTCAGCGCAAGCCTTAGATAGCTTGTGAGATGGTAGAAATTATCCACAAACGAGTAATATGTGCAACAACCTCGCATTATCCAGTTATAGTAGCTTATAACCTCGTTATGGGAGCACCTGGCCAAATATGTGACAGGATGGGGTCGAGTGCCGCCGACCGATACCATCCCAAGTTTGGATAATTCGATGATAATTTTCTCCATGGGAGCTTTCAAACTGACCCTACCCAAATCCCCGGGACGTAACTGAGTTTGAGAGGCAACCTCTGGGGACTTGGCTACACTAACCATTGTTCCTAAGAAAAAAGCATGACTACTTCCAAGACGAGTTACAATAAACTCTTCAGACATGCTAAGCTGAATATCTTTCTTCAAAAACTCCTCCAGGTCTGTTTTGATGCCAAGCATGTCCTCTTTTCTGGCAATACATGACAATAACAAATCATCTGCATACCGCACATAGAACAACTTACGAAAGCTTAACGAACTATGCCGTTTTTCCTCAAGTTGAGCTTTGCGAGCAGCCAACACTTTTGCCCTCGCTGGCTTCCCTTCTCGCTGGAGACGAACTATCCTGCACGTAAGATTCAACACAAGTGGGTCGGTAGGTTTGAAAATCCGCCCTGTGTCGAACTCGTGCTTTCTGTCACGAATCCAGCAATCTATAGGATGGAGATATATGTTGGAAAACAAGGTAGACAGCGTCATGGCTTCGTGCTTTCCCTCCCATATACTTTTAACGGTCCAGATATGAGGTTTCCTGTTACCGTGACCCGCATTCAATGCTTTCCATACGAGACGTATAAATCTTTTGTCACCAACTTTCTGCTCCATTTGCTTGATTAATACATGGTGATTGAAATTGTGGCTATCTATTCTACCTACAAGAGCAAATTTGTGGTGTTGGAGGTCCCTTCTTACTGACTGTAAAGCTGTGTGGCGTGATCTAGATGGCCTGAAGCCATGAGATGAGTCCAAAAATAACGGCTCATAAACCTTTTCAAGCAAAATCCTCATTGCCTCTACGACCACCCTATCCCGGTATGGTGGGGGTACGTAAGAATATTTCAGACCTCCTTCACTCTGGGGTTGAAGAAGCGGTTCAAACTGCAATTTCTCATCATGAAGTTCCTTCAAAATCTCCCTCACCAATCCTCGTCGTTCGTAGAAATCCTTTTCATGTCCAGCTGCAACCACGAGGCTCCTGTGAGCTAACCTAATCATGTCCTCTTCCAGAAGCAAATTGTAGAGCTTATGGTTTACAAGTCCAGGGTCACGTTTGTTGTTGTCGTAAATCTGGTCTAATTCTGCCTGAAACGTATCCAAATCACTGTCGAAGCTTTCAGACGAACGAGAATGTCTGAGTGTCTGATAAGATGAGAACTCAAGCTTAGAATTACAAAAGGATCTTATAAAATGCTCCCTATCTGTCAAAATTGGCGGTTCACGTAATAATGAAGTGACGGTGGCTAATCGCTGAAGAGAAGGAAACGTCCATCCTCTTGAAAACCTCCTGACCTGCAAGAGACAAGGTTCTAAAACTCATCAAAAAGCCTCTTCAACTCTCTAATTCAAAGAAATCGGAGTTTCTCGCAATGTGCACAATAAACATCCTTAACTCTACATTTCCAGCCAACACTGCACAGGAAAACACTGTTTTTGTCAACGCACAGCTAGAATTATGTGTTGATAGCCGCCACGAGCAGCACCTGACTCATGTGGATATTCACGTATTTCGTAACAAGAAAAGCCACAAAATCCTGGCCATCTACCGATGAGACCAGTTCTGAAAATCAAATACATACAAACTCCTAATGAGAAAAATCATTGAAAATCTGTTTGGAACGGGAAGGGAAAATGACACACTACCAAGCGATGCATTTCACTAAACGAAGAACACGCTCCTCGGCCCCAACCACACAAGCAGCAGAACCTCTTCACACACAGAATGAGAAACCCTAAATGTCAATATTGATACAGAGTCGACTTCCAAGGGCCGTCGCAAACCACGCACAGGACTTGATTTCCGAATTCCACCCTCATCAATCAACAGCTACGACGCCAACGTCGCATGACACATTCCTGCACGCACCCTCGAGCTCAACTCAAATCGCTCCCTCCTCACTGGAAACGTCGTATTTGCTCATACGAAGACACAATACGGCGATCATCGAAAATGGGTCCGAAAGTCTCCACCGAAGTCCTTTCCCCCCTCTTTTTAAATCTTCAAAAAAAATAAAATAATTTTTGTTGGTGTTAGACACGGCACCAATGAGGTTATGACATAATCAGAAATAGCGAAATTAACTTTTATTTCAGGGTCGTGAGTTGACTCCAATTGGAATAATATCTCTCTGTGATATTGCTATCAAAAGAATTTCTCATAATTGTTTTTAGTGTAGTTAATTATTTTTAGTGTAGTTAATTAGTGGCTATTGAGAGGAATTCGATGCAAATTTTGTGTCAATGTAGTGTTATGTTGCAGATGCTCAAATTTTTGAGAGTGGTTTAAGGTGAAGATTAAAATTCCAAAGAAAAAAGAATGTTTTACAAATCACTTGGATTCTAAATATTTTTCTTTTTGCTAAAAATTTGAATTTTATATATTTTCTAAGTATAATGCATCTAATTATGATTTAAGCAAGGTTTATTAAAATAAATATAATCATTTTCACAACTAGGTATATAATTTTGAAAAATAATTTTGAAAAAAGTCTATAACTTTCAAAACAAATCTTCATTGATTCAATACCACTTCTTTATGACAAATAATACATGTGTACTTAAAAAAAAATTGTATATAAGTAAAAAAATATTATAAATGTTTAATTACAATGTATATTTAGTTGGACTCTATAATCTTATAAATTCAAAATTGACTTGCATTATCTACAATATGTTGTTTTATATATACATATATAATTATTTTTTATTAAATAATAAAACTTATATTTTTTTTATAAATAATCATCTTATTAAAAACTATTAAAGTTGTATTATTTCAAAGATAGTTTTTAAAAATATAGATGAATTTTGGAGGTGTTACTTATGTCAATCATTTTGACAAAAGAAGATATTTAATAATTGTTATTATTAAGGAGATGAACTTGATGATAGCAAATAATCAAGAGAGACTTTTTTCAAAGAAGCATGACAAAATAGAAGTAAAGAAACATGTATATTAAAAGGAAACTCAAATGACTATTGCCAAAAGACAAGAAAATTAAAGACTCTTAAATCTAGAGTAGAGCAAGAAAGAAGTTGACAAAAGTGAAGAAGGCTTCATTCTTAGTTTTATATATACTATCCACATAAGAGTTACATGGTGACGTTCTATAAGACCTCCAAAATGTGTTGACTTTACAAGCTACATGTCTTAACTTGCAAGGCAAGTTTTCTATGTATGTACCACATAGTTAGCTTGTTCTACAAGCTATCCACATGTGTGACACATGGCTAACTTGTTGATCAAGTTTCTAACCTAAAGATCAACTATAAATACATATAAAGTCAAAATTATGTCTATGAAGCTTCTTAGAAATATTTCTAATAGATAATATAAAATTAATCTATTTTTATCTATTTTTATCTATTTCTATCTAATCATATAAGTAATTATTAGAATAAGTATGTATATTCATGACATTATCCTCCTTTCTAAAGAGAAGTTCTACAAAGCACAATCATCATATGTTGAAGAAATCTAACACGCAACAAATTATGTTTGTCACATACTTTATTTTTATTGTCTTTGAAGATACTTGATAGGTTTTCTTAGCCATTGATAATGTCTCATATCAAGGGAGAAAGACCACTCTATTATTTGATTATTGTTGAGGCCTTTATAACTTCCTTTAAATAAAACATTTGGAACATTGTCAAGAATTGTTTCTACTTCTAATAAAATCACCAAACATTGATAGTCTCTTCTAAGGTCGTGATACCAAACATGTTGTATCTCACTATCTATTTGAGGAAGAACATGTTGTTCTTGAAGATCTTCATTTCAATTATGTCAAATTAAAGGTTGAAACAATTGTAATATCACATCTGATAAGTTAGCAAACAATAACTCTTAAGTTGAATTTGCTGGTTATTGATTCTCCATCTCTATAGTGCCACAATATATATAAAAGCTACAAATAAGGATAGAAAGTAAAATATTATCTTTTGTTGATATTATTTCTTTTATAGTAAAGATTTGCTATTCTTTATCTAGATTTTGATCAATGTCATTGATAAAAAGCTTCCACTTTCTTTACTATATTTGTAAGATTCTTTTCCGACTCTTATGTATCTTTATTAATATCATATCCATACCAATGAACAAGATATTCTAATCTATTTTAGTACTACTTTAAGTCTAATATTTTTTCTACTTTGAATTCTTCATTATTTTCTACTTCTATAAGAGGAGGTGGCACTTATTTTCTTCTTGATATGTTCATTATCTTGTATGGTTCAAGAAGAGACATGTAGAATATGAGATGGACCTTTGTTGACTCCGATATCATATTATAATATAACTATATGATGAAAATATAATTAAAAATATAATTTTAATTATTATTTAATCATCTTGGTTGAATAATAATCTAAGCCATATAAACATGGCTTTTATAAAAGCCTCTTAATTTATTTTCCTATCTTAATAGTTAGTAGATTAAGGGTTGGTTAATAATTTTATCTTTTAGATTATAAAATTACTTTTACTACTTTAAAAAGGCCATAATTTGATAAAAATAAAAGAGAAGAATAAATAATTAATTTTTAGGGACCATATACAAGACAAGGATTGAAGACCAAGAAATAGAATTAGCTCGACATTAGAACAATAACAAAATACAAGGTAAGAAAGTCTTAGCTAGACCACAAAAAGTGAGTTGTCAAGACTGAGGATCCCCTCAGCTTTAACTCCTATATATACTAGATCTTAAGAAACTTCTTGAGAAGTTTTCATGAGGCTTGGAAACAAAGCAAACCTAAGATCCTTCTTTGGCAACTTCCTAAATCATCTAAAGCCTCCTAAAACCTTCTAGGATCTCCTATGACATTCTAGAATTTTCTTAAAATCTATTAGAATCTTTTAGAATCTTTTAGAATCTTTTAGAACCTTCTAAGATCTACAAATATCTTTTTAGAACCTTCTATAATCTTTTCAAATCTTCTTCAATTGTAAGTCCATGATATCACTTCTTCTTCTAGCTTTGAGGTCTTTAAGAAGCAATGTTGCTACAACTTAGTATATGCGTAAGAAGTTGAAGATCTGTCGTATTATATCTGCTATATATTCAAGTTATTTTTTGCAAGGCAAATGATTCATAGTTCCTTGTAGCCATCGATAATATCCCAAACCTTCTACTTTTGACCAAGCACGAACTTTGATATCTTCATTATAGAATTTTCATGCAAATATTCCTTCTAGACATCCTTCATAGGTAGGTTCTATCTCAAACACAATTATCAGTGATCTATTACTAGGTATCCTTGAATATCTTTGTGGTTCATGTGGCTCTTCATCTTAGGGTCGTCTTTGCGAGCTACTTGGTTGAGACGGTATGACCGATAAGATATCTATCTTTTAACTATCCATATCACATAAAGTAGAAAAGACCAAAAGAATATAAACAAGCTATGGTCGTGAATTTGAACTATTGACTTATATTATTCTAAACATTTGAAAAAATTACCTCTTCCATTTTTTTATGATGCCAAGAACTAAGAATCTTTATGATGAAGCCATTTTATCAAGCTACTATTCTTCATTTTCTCACTTTTGGTTTGGATGGATGTCGTATATGGAACCTTCAAACCTTCATTTGTATATTTGAAAGGTTTCCACCTAGTTCCCATGTATCATTGTTGATATCATATTTGCACTAGTGGACCAGATATTCAAGCCTTCCATGTCTTATCCTTGAATCTAATACCTCTTCTATCTCAAATTCAATAAGATCATTGATTTCAACCATTAGAAGTAGAAGTTATCTTTGACCTCGTATGTTTGATTCTTTATACCTTTCCAAAAGTGAAACATGAAAGACATGATGAATCTTTATGGATGAAGGTAATTCTAAGTAATAAATTACATAATAAATTTATTTCTGAATCAAAAATGGTTCCAACCTACGGTAGTCAAACTTATTACATAACTTGTTGGTTTTTATATTGTGCCAAAGAAGCCATACTTTGTCACTAACTTCAAATGGAAGATGTTTCTTCTTTAATTCATCCGCAAGTAGCTTATAATATTGTTGAGTCCTTTCTAGATGAATCTTCATGGTTGCTTGAAGTTCGGCCATCTTTGTAGCAAACTCCTTTGTTGTTAGATTTACCAACTTTGAAGGCTCTATCATATCCAATTTTGGATGATGACCATAGTTTGAGTAGAATGGCATTTGCTACGTAGATGCATAGATTGTGTTATTATATATAAACTTTATTAACGAGAAGTAGGAAGTCCGATTGTCTTATTGATAGTTGATGATGCAACTCAAATATTGTTCAAAAATTTGGTTGACTCCTTCCATTTGGCAATCAATTTGAGGATGAAAGGTAGAGGGAAGATTGATGTCAATCTTAAGAATCTTGAAGAGTGCCTTCCAAAACTTAGGTACAAGTTGTGGCCCATGAACTGACACAATGTCGTTTGGCAACCCGTAGTAACAATAGACATTGTCAATAAAGAATCTTGTCATTTCTTCACCAGTAATTGACTTCTTGTAAGGTATAAAATATGCCATCTTGATCAATCGATCAACGACTATGAAGATAGTGTCAAATGAGCTTGTTATTCTCGTTATGTTCAAGCTTCAATATACCAAAGCAATTGAACTAATAGAGGTGGATTTGAACATGGCCCTACTCCTAATTATGCAGCGTCCTCGCAAACACACAATTATTACCTATCTAAAAACTACTTAACAAAACTCTACTAAGGTACTATTTCCTCTGGCCCACCCAATTGATCATTTGTTGCATTATCAAATGTGCGTTCTACCAAATCTGGTTCCAATTACAAATCTTCTTCCTCCTCCTCCAGTCCGTCTATCGACTCCTTCCTCAACTGGTTTGAGAGATCTTCATTATACTCTCCCAATTCACGGACTTGAGCTTCCAATTTCAAGATCTGAACATTCCAAAGTTTTAATTGTTGCTGCTGCTGACTCATCCATTCTGGAACATCTTCAA